ACAATAGCAATACTAGCAACTCAAATGTACATGTTTTAAAAGTTGTTAGGAAGTGTTACATGCAAGTAACTCACAGTAGATACAATAGAATGTTTATTAAGCATCTATTGCTTTCAGCGCATTATGCTAGACCCCGGGGAGATGGAGCCATGGGTACTTAGCATGGAGAAGATAAGACTCAGAGGAGACATGGCAGCTGTCAAATATTTAAAGAGCTGCCAGACAGAGAAGGCATTAGACCAGTTCTGTTTGTGACCAAACGGCAGTACTAGAAACAATGTGTGAAGAATGCATAAAGGCAGATTTAGGATTGATGTCAAGAAGAATGTCCTAACAATTAAAGCTGTTCAGAAGTAGACAAGCCGCCATGAGAGGTAGTGAGCGCCCCTTTACTGGTGGTCTTTGAACAGAGGCCTGTTCAGATATGTTGTCGTAGGGATTCCTATCTGCAATGTGTTGGATTAGGTGGCTCCTAAGACCCCCCCCTTCTGTGAACTCTAGCTCTGATCATTTGTGAATAAGCTGTCTATACTAAGTGTCTCCATTTCTTCTCTCCCTTGCTTCCCAACCCTCTGCAATCTGGCTTCCAATTCCATCATTCAACTGGTCTTTCCAAATCAATCTCCAGATCCAGTGGCTTTTCTTAGTTCTTATCCTTCTTGCCCTCTCAGCAATCTTTGACACTCAATCACTCTCTCCTCCTGAATATTCGCTCCTATTTAGGGTTTGGTGACACAGCTCTCTCCTGGTTTTCCTCCTGCCTACCTGACAGCCCCCTCCGGCTCCTTTGCTGTATCTTGTGCAGATGACACCCACTAACTCCACCGTCCCCTGAGGCACTGTCCTGGATCCTTTTCTTTTTTTCTCTCTCCTTACTTGTTGACCTCATCAGCTTCCATAGGTTCAATTACCATCTTTATTCAATTGATTCGTACGTGTATTTTATCTAGACCCATTCTCTCTCTTGGGCTCCAGTCCCTCATCATTAACTGCCTGTTGGACATTTGAAACTGGATGCCCTATAGGCATCTCAAACTGAACACATCTAAAACAGAACTCAGTTATCTTTCCTCCCAAACCCTGACTGTACACACATTTTCCAAATGAACCACCATACACACACACACACACAAAGACACACACATACCAGTAGTTCATTCGGAAAAGGGCTAGAAGGATTAATAACAATATGAGGTTAGTATGGATTGCTAATGATATTTTAATGACACATTTTTTTTAGGGCCTGTTCTCTAGATGTGTATGGATACTTTATCAGCTGCATGCCTTCCCAAACTTCGTGGACTATCTTTTTAAGTTGCTGAAACCAAAAAAAAAAAATTCATCAGTTGGTGGTTAGTCTCCTGATAATCAGCTTTTTTCTTTGGCTATGCAGTGGTGTTAAGTGACTTGCCCAGGGTCACACAGCTAATAAGTGTTATGTCTCTGAGGTCGAATTTGAACTCAGGTCCTCCTGAATTCAGGGTTGGTGCTCTATCCACTGAGCCACCCAGCTGCCACAAAATGAGTCTTTTTTGACGAAGGGACAAGAAACAGACTCTATCACATTCACTCTTCAATATTTTCTTATCTATTGGCTTCTTCTCTGCTGTCTACACACATGCTCATGTTTCTCCTATCTTTAAAAAAAACAAAACAAAAAACCCTCGAGTGATCTGACCATCCCTGCCTTTGTCCATGCTCTCTCCTCTTCTTTTTGGCTAAACTGAGAAAACCATCTTGTACTGGGGACCCCTCTACTTCTCTCTCACTCTGCTAATAACCCTTCTGGAATCTGGCTTCTGACCTCGTCTCTCAATTGAAGTTATCAGTGATCTCTTAACCGCTAAATCTCATTGCACTTCCTCAGTCCTCATCCTTCCTGCCCTCTCTGCAACCTTCTGACACTATCATCATCTCCTCTGGGACACTCTCTTCTCTCTAGGTTTTCATGACGCTATTCTCTCCTCATACCTGATGGCTCCTTCTCAGTCCCCTTGGTTGGATCTTCATTTAGGTCACACCCACTTACCACAGGTATCCCTCATCTCTCTGTCCTGGGCTTTCTTTTCTTCTATTATCGTACATGATCTCAGTAGTTCCCATGGATTCAATTATCTCCGTGCAGATGACTCCCAATTCTATATATGCAGTCCTACTCTCTCTTGAGCTCTGGTCTCCTGTTACCAACTACCTTTTGGATATCTCTAACTGAATGTCTCTTAGGCTTCTCAAACTCAACAAGTCTAAAACAGAATGTTATTTTTGCCCATCCCCCAAACCAGTCACTAAGACTTACATCTTTGGTGTTATCCTCAGCTCCTCACTCTCACTTACCCCATATACCCAATGTTATCAAATTGGCATTTCTTCCTTCACATATTACACAGCCACCAAACCACTCACATGGTCTATTGTAATAGTAATAGAACCTCTACGTGGTCTCTCTGCCTTGTTTTTCCCTATTCCAATCAGCTATCAAGTGAGTTTCCTAAAGCACAGAACTGAACATATCATTCCACTTATATTATTGAATATTTATATTCAATAAATTGCAAATAGTTCCTTATGATCTTCAGGACTAGATATAAAATCCCATTTGGCATTCAAAGCCCTCTACAGCCTTGCCCATCTCTACCTTTGCAGTCGTCATCTCCCAGTTCCACCCGCGTTTTTGCATTGGCTGTCCACCATGCTGCAATGTTCTTTTTCAGCTTCTCTAGCCCCGTTCAAGACCTAGCTCAAATCCTATTTTATACAGAAGTCCAATCTCCTTTCCTAGTCTCCCCCCAAACCCCAGCCTTTTCATGCCTTCCCTGAGATAACCTTTCATATATTCTGTACTTTCCCAGTGACTTACACGTTGTCTTTCTCATTAGAATGTAATGTCTTGATGGTAGGGACACTGATTTGCACAGTGCTGGCCCATTTTTGTGGTTGAGTCATTTCAGTTGTGTCCAACTCTTCATGACCCCATTTAGGGGGGGTCTTGGCAAAGATAATGGAGGGGTTTGCTATTTCCTTCTCCAGTTCATTTGACAGATGAAGAAACTGAGGCAAACAGTTAAGTGACTTGCTCAAGGTCACACAGCTAGCAAGTGTCTGAGGCTGGATATGAACTCATGAAGATAAGTCTTCCCGATTCCAAACCCAGTGCTCTATTCACTGCGCCACCTAGCTGTCCTCCTGGCTCACAGTAAGCACTTAATAAATGCTTGCTGACTCACTGACATGGACCAATCTTGAAAACTTTATAGCCTAGTAGGAATTTCCAGGGCTTTGGTTCCCCTGAGGAACATAGCCTTCAAGAATTTAAGGTCACCTCCAAACCACAATGAGGCATCAAAGTAAGGCTTTAAAGGAAGTGATTAGTACGTCTTCTGCCATGATCAGAACACATCCAAGGTACTGTGGACATCCTGGGTACATTTCTGGAAGACACTGATGATATTCCCAAACAAGGGAAAATAGGATAGTGAAAGGATGCAAAGCCATTCCATACCATGAATGGATAACTGAAGCTGTCTGGAGAAGAGAAGAGGTAGGGGGGCAATGGGCAATATAATAGCTGCTTTTAAGTATTCAAAGGGCCATCTCATGAAAGGATTAGGTTTACTGTGCCAGAGGGGCAGAAGTAGGGCCAAAGTGGGGCAGTCACAAGAGTGCAGTTTTCATCCCAATATAAGGAAAAACGTCCTAATCATTAGTCATAAAATGTGAAGTAGTCTTCCTTTGGAGGGGATGTGTTTCCATCCTCTGAGGTCAAGTGTAGCCTGAAGGTCTGTTGGACACGTTATAAAGCCCAAGAGTCATACTTCTAATTTTGTTTTCCAAGTCTTACTATGATGACTATGACTATAATCGGCAAGGAAACGCCTTCGCTATTTCCATGGCAGGAGTCTGGGGTGAGCACAAGCTCTTTTAAGGTAAAAAGCTTAGGACAAATGGACTTGTCTGAGGGAGACAAGGAGGGAGTGCTTGCCAAAGGTCTTGGGCCCACATGGGGATACAAGGGTTAGGGAAACAAATTCCAGAAGGTCTGAGTCACCAACAGCCATGACAAACAGAACCCATCAGCGGGAGAGGAGGAACTGACTAGACATCTTGCCCTGACAGGAGGAAGCTGGACTAGCCCTAGACTGGGCAGACCTAACAAATATTGAGGCCTAGTTCTCTGTCACTGGCCATGTATGAGCAGAATTAATTCATAAGATCGTTATCATTTAGCACAGTACCTGAGATATAACAGGCATTTAATGTTCACTGAATTAAACTGAAGTAATTCTCCCATCCTAAAACTGTCATGGTAATGGCCCGTTGTCTTGAAAATCCAGAGTACTAAGAGAGGCAGCACGTGTTGGGGGGGGGGGCGCCAGGTGGCGCCATAGTGCAGAGGGTCCCGGGCCTGGAGTCAGGAAGACTCATATTCGAGTTCAAATTTGGCCTCAGACGCTTACAAGCTGTGTGACTCTGGGAAAGTCACTTAACCCTATTTTCCTCAGTTTCCTCATCTGTAAAATAAGCTGGAGAAGGAGATGGTAAATGACTCCAGTATCTTTGCCAAGAAAATCCCAAAGGGGGTCACAACTGAACAACAACAATATGGATTAGTGGATAAACATGGCCTCAGAGCCAGGAAAACCTGGATTCAAGTTTCATCGCTGACACATACTGGCCATTTGACCTTGAGCGAGTGACAAAATCTCTCAGGAAACTCTCCAAGATCACAAGCAGCAGAACAATTGCCAATGTGCATTGGCAGAAGGAGATTTATTGCAGAGACCTATATACAAACGAAATCAGAGCTAAGGGCCAACCCCCCAAACTCCTGCAAAAAAAAAAAAAATGTAGGAAAAAAACCTAAAAAAAAAAAAAAAACGAAAACCTAATATATGCTGTTTTCAGGAAGCACAGTAAGTTTAGGAAGGAAAAGGTCAGTATTTTCTTCCCCAGGCTAAAGTGGGTGACAGGGAAACACAAAACAAAAAACATCTCAAAACATCTGTAAGGGGCACAGCAGCCAAATTTTAATTTGGCAGTACATCACGGAGGGTCAAGAGTTGTCACAGACTTGCATTATGCGGGTTGTTAATATTTAATGCCACAGACAAACATTCATGGCTTTGAAATCACAAATACAACTGTTCTCAAATTTTTTGGTCTCAGGACCCCTCATACTCTTCAAAATCACTGAGGACCCCCTGCCTCCCAAGGAGTTTTTGTTTCTGTGAGTTGTATCTATTGATACCATATTAGAAATTGAAACAACTTAGTATTATTATGAAAAGTTTGGATTTTGAAAAGGTCTCAGGGATTTCCAACGGGTCCCAGAAGGAATGAGACAGCAGAGCAGTGAACTTTGATTTGGGGAGATAAATGGGAAAAAGAAAAGAGGAGCTGAGTTACTCACAGAAGACATGTTAAGAGACAGTGCAGTGTACCGAATAAGATGCCGGGCTAAGAAGTCGGAAGATCGGAGTTCAATTCCCACCCAAAACCTTACTGTGACACTGAGCAAGTCACTTAGGACCTCAGATTCCTGTAAAGTGAAGTAGTTGCCCATCTTGCCTTCTAAAATTCCTCCTAGCTATAATCTATGATTTTGGGGGATACAAAAGGAAGGAGTTCAGCTTTACTACAGCAACAGACTTCTAGCCACCTAGCTCCTTGAAGGCAAGGAGTTTTTTGCCTCTTTTCATATCCCCAGGGTGGGATATTATTTGCTGATTATAGTCCAAGTCATCATAGTAATATTAGCATCATATCAGCAATGGTGTAGCACATAGTAGGCACTTAATAAATGGCACATAGTAGGCATAGTCGACTGACAGTTAATTTGTTTTACTTTAGAGTTTATCCAGCTTGGGAATATTGTTTTTGAACTGGTCTCCAAAAGAGGAAGTAACATTTTTTTTTTAAAAATCTATTTTTTGTTAAACCTAGAAAACATCACAATGTTTATCAAGCTGGAAATATTGATGTCTCAAAGAAATCATAAAACTGGGAGACGGTTTAGCCCAGTCTCCCACAACTCTCACAAGAACTTATTAGACTGTGACCCTCTTGAGAACTGAGACTATATGTAGATGTATCTATATATCTTTGTATTCCTAATGGCTAGTAATACCTAGCAGGTAATCCAGATTATTGCACTGGTCTAGGGCAGTGAGCTCTAAAATATTCTGAGCACCCCTATATGAATGAAGAGGGGATGGATGAGATGTTCTTGAGGTAGCATTGACAAAGCTAGGCAACTGACTGATAGCAAGTGAAAATTGGAAAACTGGTTGCAAACCTGACAGAAACATTGTGGTAGAAGGATGGTGGCTGACATAAATAGGGATGTTTAGAAAAAAGATGGGCTTTTAGAGAAAAATAATATAGTGAGATTTTTGATGCAGACTAAAACCTATCCGTATTTGTTCAACCTGCACAACTCACTATCTTCCAACAAAATTGAAAAAGATGTGTGGGTTGGGGGAAGGGAGGGTGGTTAGGGCTCTTACCAGACACTGTTTGGGTGTGCTGCTGGCGCAGGTGTCTGGGATGCAGGCAGGTTATAATCACCTTATGAGGCTGAGGCCCAGAGGAGACAGGTGGAGGTTGGGGGCTAATACTGCCACCAGGCAAGTGGAAGGGTTGAAGAATGTTGAGGAATAATGAGTGAAGGGGGGAAATGTAGTTACACAGAGAAAAGCTACGTGACGTGACTTGACTTGTGGGAAGGGCAGGCAGCAATTTATGTTCCGACCCTCTATTAGAGCTAGATAGTTGCTCCCAGTGAGGAAACTCCCTCACTCATATCTACAACTGCAACTACTCTACAACTATCACGGAGTCGTCGGGGCACTACAAGATTAACTGACTTGCCCTGGCCACACGCGTCAGCTTGGGCGAGGTGGGATTTGAGCCCAGGTTTTAACTAGAAGGAAGCTCGGTTAATTAGTCATTGCAGTGTATTCTAAAACTGCAGATTAAAGTGCATTTAATCTTCAATTTTCCTTCACGTTACTTTTGGAGGCTGTCGGCATTCTCAAAAACGTCCTTCTTCTGGATTTTAAACAATAAAAGCAGTGTGGTAAAGAGAACTTTTTGAGTAACAACAACGGACCTGGCTCTGCCATTAATTCTACGAATTTAGGTGTATAACTTGAGATATTCCAATCCTAACATCCTAAGTTTCTAGTCAAAGGCATGCCTTATGGGGAAGGAACTGGGGGTGTTTAACCTGCAAAAAGCTCTGGGGGAGGGGAGGAGATGGCAGACCTAGGATTACAGATCGAGAGGTGGGAGGGACGTTAGAGGGTGTCCGGTCCAACCCTTTCATTTTGCAGACAAGGAAACTGAGGCACAGGAGGGTTATCTGACTTGTTAAAGGCGATAGGAATGCCGAGGAGTTATGTTGAGATGGGAATATAGGCAAGTATCAGAAGGGCTAAGAAACACAGGAAAGATGAGATTTCTTTGACTTGGTTCCAAAGGGCAGGATGACAATCGATGATGGCAAACTGCAAAGAGGCAGATTTTAACCTTTATATTAAGGGGAAAACTTCTGAATCATGAAGGGCTGTACAAACCTGGAACTGGCTGCCTTCAGCAATGAGTAGTGAGTTCCCCATCAAAGGAACGGGAGAAAGAATCCTTGTTTACAGATCATCTACAGGGAGGCTCCTGTTTGGGCGTTAGAAAAGATGGCCCTCGAGGTAATTTCTAACTCAGAGATTTTGTAACTGTAAGTGTGATGAAGAAACAGCACAGACTAGGTAAAAATCAAGGTGCCAGTCCCAGCTTTGAGACCTTATATAAACCTAAGTTACTTTAGTTGCCTTCTCTACCCCTTCTACCTCCAATTCTTCAAAGTGGGAGATCTGGTGGTTCCCTTCTGATGAACTGTAGACACATCAGTCATTCTGGGAAGTCCAAGGATTCCTGTCCACGATGGTTTGGAGTTTTTTGGTTTTAGCATTTTGATTAATTCTATTTAGCTGTCTTCAAATCTGTGTCCTTTATCAAAAGACACTACCAGGACCCTTAAGCTGAAAATCTTGTCCTCTTGGGTTTTTTATTTCCCAAATAAAAGAAAAAAAAATTTTTTTTCCTTAGTCCTTTATCCATTCACCAATATTATTCCTCTGAACTTTGAAACAAAAACATATTCAGGTTAGCTAACATTATATATGGTAAAAGTATGGCTAGGCATCATGAATAAACTAGACAACAGGAAACTCCACAAAGGAAGGGGATGTTCTTGGAAGAAATTTATTTCATTGCTGACCCTCAGGTGGCAGCATTCGACTTTCATCACACTGCCACATTCTCCACTCCTGAATGGCACCAAATCTTAGGGAGCCACATTGGGATCAATCTTCAGCCTTTTATAGACCTATATAGCAGGAACATTCAGCTACATATTTGGGGGGGGGACTATTTCTGTTTACAAAGAGCAACTTTTGACTACTCAAAAAAACTAGTCATCAATTGTTCTGATCTGGGTTTAGTTTCTGATGAACTGTAGTCACACCAATTGTTCTGGGGAGGTTGGCAGATTCCTATCCACGCTGGGGCGATAACAGTTGCTACTCTGCCAGGTTTTCTCAGAGGCTTCTAAGTAAATTAGGAGAGAGAAATCAAATCTCTTTCCTTGTCTTTTTATGCAGGAAACTGATTTCCTCCCAACTCCTAATCAGGAAACACGGCTTGGACCTTAAATAACCTTTTGTAGTTAGAAAGTCATACCTACTGGACTTAGAACTAAAGATATTTTTAAAGTGCTGAGGATTAAGCTGGTTAATGTCTTTCTACCTCTTCTCAAGCAGTATTTGTTCCATGGGTAGAAGGTACTAGATAGGCTGCATTAGATTTTTCCTCACCTCACCTCTGTTCTTATGCATCAATTCTCTCCATTCCAAAAATCCCACTTCCAAAAGTAAAAGGAGATTTCTATCACCCTAGGGGTAGGAGAAACAAGAGAGCCAGGTGCTTAAGAAAGAGCACACAGGTGGGAGAAAGAGTGGATGTGAGATCAGATTTGAGATTTCTATCCTCAGAAAGGTAACTTTCTTAGAAAGCATACACAAACAGGAGGAACACTGATAATTCTGACTGACTTCCTTGGTTAAGAATATTTGTAATAAAACACAGAAAAACTGAAATCAAAAATTGATTCCCTACATATATGAACATTTTCTATTTTATAATCTGGATTATACCTGAAAATGCTGGTCATGAAGCTTAAGACTGTTGATCAAAGTGACCTCTTCTTGCCCTCCCTCCTCCCAGCCCCCATCACAGAAATATACATGGGGAGAAACTAAAAAGTAAAAAACAAATTAATAAATGGAAGCAAGACAGGAGCTAGAGTAGGTGCTAAGCCTCCAGCCAGTAACAATATTCAGACACTCTTACTCTTCTCCCCTGTGTTATACAAAGAAGGATGTTAAGGAAGTAAATTAAGAACTTCCCACAATGGTTTAAAACTTATGTTTAAGTATGACATTATAGGTTACCTTCCTAGTCAGGGAGGGGATACAGCATAATTTCAAGGCATCTCCATTTAATATCCATTTAACCCCATAGCAATTGTGCAATCAGCAAAATATCAGAAAAGGAAAACAACAAAGTTAACTTCTCACAGGAAGAAAAAGACATTAAGATATGTACAGAAATAAGCCTTCACATACAGGAGTCTTGTTTGAGTGGCCATTGAAGATCCAGATTCCAGAAAAAAACAAACATTACCCACATCAGGAATGTTCATTGGCGCTCAACAGTTTCCATCAGGGCTGCCCTCTCTAAAAGAAGGACCGAGGTGGTGCAAGTTTAAGTTGGTTAGTGTGAATCCCAAGGATGGATCCATTCCAGAAAGGGAATGCCCTAGTCAATGCTGCCTAAGGGTTCAGAACACAGGGTGGGGGTGGGGGGGTGGTGGAGAAGAAGTCTACTGTTCCCTAACACATACAGTTTGCCACCCAGAGAAAGTCTTTAGTCCCCAACAAGACCTCCTTTAGAGGGTTAAGCTTCACTAAATAAGGGGTGGCCTATGGCATTTAGGACACTTGCTTTCTTTCTAGGTCTCCAGAGTCACAAGTCCCATTTGGATCCTAATGCACAGCCCTGTGCACTCAGTGTCCTGCAAACATACACCTGCCATGTTTCAGGCTCTCCCCCGCCAAGGATGGCATTAACGTGCTCAAAGCCACCAGAATCGTACATACACTATCAACATGATAAAAAACACAGCAACTGCTGCAAGTTTGGCATAGGTGGAACGCATGTTCAAGTACTTCGCATCCTGACGATATTTCTTGGACAAACTGGACAAATTGTTGGCTTTGGAATCCAATGCTGTCAAAAAGTAAAAATGGAATAAGACAAATTAGTTGAAGAGACCTTTTATCAACATTCTCTTAATTAAAATGAAAGCACTTCCTCCCATCTCATGTATTATTATGCTATGGGATTAATAAGTGATATACTCTCCATGAACAGCACATACTGAGAACATCAGAGGATTCACATAATTTAGGAATAAGGGGAAAGCGGTACCAAGTTATGTTGGGTTCCTTCCAACTCTGAGATATAAATTGGCTCTATGGCAGGGGATCTTAGAGGCCGTGAACTTGTTTTTAAATATTTTGATACCTGTATTTCAATACAATTAGTTTCCTTTGTAATCTTTTATGTTTTATTTTATGCATTTAAAAACATTATTCTGAGAAAGGGTTCAGAGGTTTCATTAGACTGCCATAGAGGTCCATGACACAAAGAAAGGTATATAAACATGATGTATCAATATCCCCTTATCAAAATTAATAGAAATAAACCCCTCAGGAAATGACAACCTAGGACACTCATTTTTTTTTTCTGTTTCAAGAGTATGTTGAAACAAACCAGTAAAAATACAAAAGAGTCACTAACAAGGGACCTTCAGGGTCCCTTTCCTATAATAAAAATAATAATTGTTACTAATGATAAGCTTCCATTAACCAAGTTCTAAACAGAACACTGAAATAGGGGAGGAGAGGAAGAGGAAGGCTGTATATTGATCACTGGCGCTGATGACAGGTCAGTCCTGTGTCACTGGAAGATCCTCAAGGACCTTCTGAAACATCAAAGACTAAGTTACGTGCATTGCAGGGGATCAATCAGTCTTAGAGTCAAACAAGATGAAATCAGGAATTTATTCAGAAAAGCACCTGCCAGTCTGAGTGCTGGGGCAGTACAGATTCAGCCCAGTTTCTTCCTCATACTACATCTAGAGCCCTGTGTACAAAAGTTCATGTTCAAAATGTGGAAAGAAAAGAAACTGTCATTCTTACCACCCTGAGCTACCCGAAGCAGGGAAATGCACTAGACATTTCTGAAAGATTCCCATGAGAGGGGCAGAAATACAAAAGGCTTATTGGTCATCCCTTAGTGAACCCAAAAAGAATGAACTGGAGTCCTCCAAGCATTTCCTTTAATTCAGGTTTGACCACAAACTACTAATTCACAGCAAAGAGGGAGTGCACTGGACTATGACTACTTTCTGGGGTGTTGTAAGAATCACACAATGCTTTCCTCACAACTCTGGAAGGTAGGTGGTACAAGTCTTTTTAATTCCCATTTTAAAAATAAGGAAAACTGAGGCCTTAAGTGGCTAAGTGACTTAAGTCACACAACTAATAAGTGAGGTGGGAGTCTTGACTGCAAGTTCAATACTCTATTATTGGTTCTAAGTCTATGGTTCTAGGAAATACTGAGTCTGACACGGTAAAGCCCCATTGTGGCCTGCAAGTAGCCCTGAGCTTTGCGAGACTATGCCAAAAGAATGAAGCAACCAAAGGAGCGATCAAGCTGGAAGGGTCTCGATGGACCCAGCTGTGGATTCACATGTCTGCTACCAGAGGACCAGCCTACCTGCTCAGACAAGACTCATTATCACAAGGCTGTGCATAGATGATGAATTATTTTAACTACAGCAACTCATGAAACTATCTAAGGCATGGAAGAATTGTAACCTGCGTTACATGAAATGATCTTTTGCATACTTTATTATGTGATTATATATGTACATATTATCTCCCCTTCTAGAATACAACTGAGGAGACAGACAGTTTCTGTTTTTGCCTTTCTCTGTATACCTAACATTCAGCATAGTACCCGGCAATGACTGATGGCTTTGTGGAAGGACTATCCATCCCAATGACTCGGCAGATTTTGAATCAACTAATCGACAAGCATTTATTATAGGCTTACAGATGGTTATTTAATGTAGTTTATCATATTTAAATTCTTTGAAAACCGATCATTTTTCCCACATATGTATTTATGTTCATTTGTTGCCCACATGCTAAGTCTTCAGGAAATAATTTTTGAATTTTTTGACCCTAATTCTACCACTGTCTTAACCAGTGTACTTTAGCAATTCAATTAACTTAGAAAACTGTCATGAAGGTGAATATGAAGCTATTTCAGAAAACACAATGCTATGGAAATCCCTATATCTCACAATACGTATAAATAATAACTACCATAACATATGCTTAAGTATCACCAATATTTCATAGGCTAAACTTTGTCATGTCCTTCCCCATTAACAAAGGCCTCTCTTATGTAAGAAACAATAGGAATAGTTTCTTAACATCTCCAGGAATTTTTATGAATAATGGCTGAAAGGTATAGGGAAACAACATTAAGTCAAATTGGACATAAGATTAGAAACTAGGCTTCAATCACAATACGTGAATAACACACATGCTACTATAGTTAAAGTAGAAATAGCTTCCACTAAAGAGCTCAACCTTTTACCCCTTTGAAATTTTGCCGAACTTCCTTTTTTAAGCTGAATCTGTAAGGGTATTCCTTAGAGAATGTTTTGGGGAAACCTAGTGGGTTTGTTTATAAAATTTTGCAACATTAAACTAAATGCAGGCATTGCAGCTACTTCTAAGTTACCCATTAAATCTATGACATAAGGCTAATAATGCAAGAATGTGACAAATGAGGCAGGAAAATGAATGAAAAAATGGCAGGCAACGGTACAAAGACATTAGCGTTGCTTACCACTAAGTGTGGTAAGAATCACTGCAAAAGGAGACACTTGGCATAGGAAATGCACTTCTGGGCCTTCTGAACACTTGTACTAATAAAAACCAGAGAAGAAACAAGTTGATAGCCAGGTCTTATTGACGGCAACCAAAGAAGCTTTGCAGACCTCTTAAGCTTCGAAGAAAGAATAATTCATCGACGGCTTTGGGGCTGAGGGAGAAGAGCCTCTGAGAGACACTGTCTGACTATAAAGAGGCTCAACACAGTGTCCCTGCCACCAGACAGAATCATTTACAAATCATTCTCCTGAATAAGCCACATTCTTCTTGCTTCTTGGGGGGCAGCAGGAGTTAAGCTAGACCTTGAAGAACAGGTAAAACTTGGATAGTCCAAACAAAGGGGGGATTACAGCATTTTAGCGATGGTACAGAGGGAAGGAAGAATGGGGGGAAAGTAAGGAAATTGGTTTGATCGTACCAATGGGCAGGTGCTGGAAAACAGCTGGAGATGTGTTTGGAAAGGTAAATCAGAACCAAAAACGTGGAAGACTGAAGATTCAGTTAAGAAATCTGGACTTCATATTATAAGTAATACAAAACTGGATAAGGTTTTGGGGGCAGGATAACATGATTCAAGTAGCATCTGAAAAGTCTAGAATAACCTGAAAGACACTGGATTAGAAGGAGTAAAAGACTAGAGTAAGGGAAACCAACTGAGAGACAATGTCAATAAGTACTTAAAAGCCTCCTCGCCTCCATTTCCCCTACCTTGTGCATGTTTTTTTAGATGCTAAAATACTGAGGGCCTTTAACATGTAGAAACCCAATACACTACAGGTATTAAAGAAATATTAATCATTATGTTAGATTCATTCTACTATTAACCAGGTGAACTCTTCATAAAACAAGATATGGTGCAAGGACCCCTTAACCCATCTACTCATCCTTCTGGAATAAGAGTGATCTGTTCATTAGAACCCTATTGCTCCTAGGACAAAGGTACCTGAGAGGGCTTCCCCTCGCTGTAAGACTTCTTCAATATTAGCCACCATGATTCTCTGCACATCCTGCAATTCAGTGTTGATGGAGCCCAGGTTCCTCCGTGCACGGCTGTCAATGTACTGTTTTTTGGTTTTCTGAATGTAGGTATCTGGAAAGATGAAGTAAATGGCCATTAACAAACACTTCCATGTGTGTTGAGACTTCTCCAAGGCCCACATCCAGGGGATACAGAACTCCCTGCCATAAGATAACTCATTTTAGGACCTCTCTGAGGAGGTGCTCATGAAAATATCAGATATATTTCAGGAGAAACTTTCCCCTCGTTAGAGCATCTAAAATGTTTGATAACGAGTTGCCTCTTTTACCAAGAGGGAAGAAGTTACAGGGACAAGGGCTCTTATGCAGCAATTGTGGCATGTAAAGGAATTCAAAAAGGCTGATGGACCAATCTCCCCACTAAGAAGACGGCAAGAAAACTTAAAAGATTTAGTTTAGGGGCAGCTACATGGCGTAGTGGATAGAGCACCAGCCCTAGAGTCAGAAGGACCGGAGTTCAAATCCAGCCTCAGATACTTGACACTTACTAGCTGTGTGACCCTGGGCAAGTCAGTTAACCCCACTGCCTAGCAAAAAACAAACAAACAAAAAGATTTAGTTTAAACTAAAAACCCTACTTAATAGCTACCTTATCAGCCACTATTAATACCTGGTCTCAGAGATACTGCATACAATACAGCTGAACATAAAAAACTGCAACAAAACAAAGAGGGGCACAGGGAGACAAAAACACATTGTAGCATGAATTGCTTCAAAGTGGGACTTTCCAAACTGCATTCCCAAAACTCTCGGTGGTTAACTGTCCAGTTCTAGGGGCACCTTTCAAGAATAAAAAAGTCAGGTAACAATGAAAACTTAATTTTTGCCTGCATCATCACATTCAGACCCTGACCTTACAAGAAAAAAGGCTGTATGTATGTTTGTGTTTGTCATTTCAACTTTCAGAAGTTGAAAACCACCTGTTTACAGTATTCTCCAGCTGTTTTCCCCTACCCTATCACCTTATCTAACATACATATTTAATTAACTTATTTAAACTTCTCAAGTTTAAGGATAAATTACAAATTTTAAAAACCAAGTCTTACAAGAAAAACCCTGCAAAAACTCTTATTGATTCTTGCTCTTATTATTACCACCCTATCTTTCATATCCCTACTCCCTACAGTCCTGAACAACAATGATCACTTTAATTTCCTTCCACTTTTATTAAGATGCCACTTACGGGCTAATTTTCTTTAAGCTGAAGCTAACTTGGTCTTTATTCATATGGGGCTGTATTGCTGTGCACAGGTGAAATTTCAAAAACTAAGCTATAGATTGCATAAATTAGCAATCACCAAGACTTCCTCAGGTTACACAACACAGAGATTCTTTTTTCATATTCACCATTTCTGAAGCCATGTTGACCCACTCTCCATTTAAATCTCCAGAATACAAGATAATAGGTGGCTCACACTTTAGGCATTTTCTTTCTTGCTTCTACTTTCACAGGCATATACTGATGCAGGCAGAACCATAGGAGGATGAGGATGGATGCCTAACCCAATTTTGTGTACCATCTTGGGGAATCCTCCACTTATCTGCCTAAAGCAGATGTTTCCCTCTTATCTAAAAGACAGTATGACGTTCCTTGATCTGAGGTTGATGTTGACATTCATATCCTATTCCTTTACATGTGGAGATTATTTTCCTGTTTTTCAACAGTTGAAAAGACAACTGGTAGCCCAGCATTTGATACAGACAGTCATTGATCTGAAATTGCTTCTGGGACTCTGGCTAAATCTACAAATCTTACTCTAAGTGAAGCAAAGACCCACTGTGTCTAATTTGTGACTTCAGATCTTCAGCACCACCTTTAGCTATGTTCCACTATGCCTGTGCCCTTTGTTAAGGGAGGAGATCAGGAACCAAGAAGGCTAACGTTTCTAGGGGAACGAGATCAAGAGACTGAATTACATCGTTTAGGCTTTTGCACAAGAAAGAATGCTGAATGCTGAGGGATGTAATGAAGACAAAGAATAAAGCTCTAAGCCTTAGAAAAATGGTAGCACAGGACTTTAATTAAGCAAAAAACTTCCTGTGTTCTGACTTATCAATAGCACAGTACAAGTTAAAGCCTCACCAAATTCAATGAAGGAGTAGGGTCTGGAGACAGTGGGCACCTTCTTTCCATGTTGTTCATCAAATTCGGAGTGCAAATCCTCAAGGTAGGCAAATGCCAACTTTTTGGGGAAAGCAGCTTCACACAAAACCAGGTAACACACACCTTGCTCAATAATGTAACTGGAAAGATAAAAAGTCAAAAAAGTAACCTATAGTTAATGCTGTTTCTGGCATGCAAGTTCTCACACCTATTCTTGATACCACAAGAGGGCTCTTACCTATGCCTTCTTCAGGCTGGAAAGTCAGAACGACTAAATTATAAACCACATGCCCTTTAGGCCAGAAAATAATTTTTCCATTAACTAGAAGTACATTCCAAAAGCAAGAGTAATTTATACAGCACTTTATTTTAAAACTTTCACATACAATCTATTAAAACTGTTTTCAGTAACACAAAATTCCTTCACTTAAACATCTTTAACATCTAAAACTATTCCGTGGGAATTCTTACTTGCAAATCCATCCACCCTATAATTACATTTATTGGATTCATATTTAAATCCTTCCCTACTATACCTAGAAACAGCAAAGTGAACTTTTAAAAATGTACCTAAAAATTGAATACCAACCCTAGGATCATAGAAATGACTTGATATCGTTTAGTTCAAACACTGGCCAAACAAGTCATCCCATTGTCTCAATTCTAAATAAATTCATAAACACATTATGTGCTTACTATGTGCTAAGTACCGTACTAGGTGCTGGGGACACAAATAGGCAAAAAAAAAAAATAGTCCCTACCCTTCAGGAGCTTATAATCTAGAAGTGGAATGAGTCACACAAACAAATGATAGACTGATGTAGGTTCATAGGAAAGGTCAGAGGGGAAGATATGATCCAAGGAAAGTTTCAGGAATGAGGTGACGCTTGAACTGGGCCCTGAAGGAAGGAAAAGACTTCAATAGGTGGAGATGTGGGTGGAATCCATTTTAAAGCTGGGTATGGTATGCAACACAAACTAATATCCTGGAGGTCTCCTCCCTTTCACGGCCTCCATTTCTCTTCTCATTCATTTCTTCACCCTTTGCCACCTGTGTCCTAATCTCATCACTTAATTGAAACTGCTCCCTCTACCATCATTAAGGATCTCTCCAGGTTATGAGCTGCCAGATCAGCTGCTCATTTCTCAATCCTCACCTTTTGTGCTCTCTCTGCAGCCTCTGATACTACTAACCATTCTCTCCTCCTCTCCAGCTTTCTGTAACACTGCTCTTCTGGTTCTCTTTTGCTATATCATAATTCATGGGCACCTTCTAACTATGGAGGTACTCCAAAGCTCTGTGCTGAGCCACCCTCCTGTCTTTCTCCACACTCTCTTGATGAACTCACTGGCTTAACTGCCATCTATGCAGATGACTATCTGATCTCTACATCCAGGCCTAGTACCACTTGAGTTCCAGAACACCAGCTGCCTATTAGACACTTTAAACAGATTATCCTGTGAGCATCTCAAACTCAACATGTCAAAAAAAGAACTTACCTTTTCTCAAAAAACCCCTCATTTTCTGGACTTCGCTATTTCTGCTGAGGATACCACCATTCTCTGTCACTCAGGTTTACAACTCCAGAGTCATTCTAGATTCCTCCCTCGTCCCACATATCCAATCTGTGGTCAAACCTTGTCAATTCTATTTCCACAGCATCTCTCACATCTGTCCCCTTTGCTCTACTCCAACAGCCAACTCTCCAGTTCAGACCCTCATTCCCTCTCATTTAGCTATTGTAACAGCCTTTTAATTGGTCTGCTTGCCTCATCCTCCACGTAACTGCCATAGTGATTTTCCTAAAGCAAAGGTATAACCATATATTCCCCTGCTCAATAAACTCCAGTGGCTCACTTATTTCCTTTAGGACAAAAAACAAAACAAAAAACTGTTTGACATTTAAAGCCCTTTACAACCTGACTCCAATCTACCTTTCCAGCCTTATTACTGATTGCTCCCCTTCACCCTGTAGCCTAGCCAAGGAGGCCACCTAGCAAATCCTTACACAGGACACTCCCCTTTCCAGGCCTCTGCTCAGGCTGTGTTCCATGCCTGGAATGTACTCTCTTTTTAGCACCACTTCTCAGAATCCCAAATCCCTACTTTCCTTCCAAGTTCATCCAAGCTTCTAGAAGCCTCTCCTGATCCCACTCCTTCTCAATTCCTTGTAAAAATTTGTATATACTTATGCATGTATGCCTTGTTTTCCCTGATAAAATATAAGTTCCTTAAGGACAGAGACTGCCTCACTTTTGTCCATCTCCCCAGTACATGGCACATATTAGGCACTTTAAAGGCTTGTAAATTGACTGGTAGATGGATGACCACTACAGGGAACCATGATTTGGATGTGCATATCCAATATACTGAAATCTCTTTCAATTACACAATTCTATGATTCTACTAGTTTATCCTATTTGGTTTTTTTTTAAATTCCTGCAAAACTTATCTGGTTTCTATCCCATCAAGATTTGTGTTATTCTCTATTAATCTTTCTGTTTTGGTCGGAGAGTCAGACTAGGTTATCTCCACCATCCTATGTTCACATTAACTAAATATTATTATTGAGGTTGCTATTAAAACATTATGCAGAAAAATCCCATTCTATGCCTACCACATGAGGCCAGACCAGTCCTGACCCAGGGGTTTCACTAGCCTAAATTATCCTGGGGCCAACATGGGAATTCAAACATTACCTAGCTATTCTAGATTGATTCACAACTCTATGCCTACACTAGAATGGATTCAGATTAGTTCTGAAAATAGAAGTTAATGACAGCCATGATACACAGGAAGAAAGAACAGTAAAAAACCACTCAGAGGATGTCTAGCCTGACAGACCAGGAAAAAGCACTACTAATGATGTTGGAGAAAGGGGGGGGGGGGGGGGAGATGAATTTAGTTTTGGCCAGTATCTCAGTGAGTATGTCCTTTGGATTGCTGAACATCTATGAATGGAAAAATCTCCCAATCAGAGCTTCCCAAAGTAGAATGGGCTACTTGAAGAGTCCTGGGCTTCCCTGCACTGGCAGTCTTCAAGCAGAGGCTGGATGCCCCCTAGTAAGGTGTGGTTATATTGGTGATTCTGCTTGGGTAGAGACTGAGCTAAATGACCCCTTCCAACTCTGAAATGTTCTGAATCTATGACATGAATGTAATGGAATATTATCATACCACAAGAAATGACAAATATGATGCATTCAGAAATAAATGCAAAGATTTTTATGAATTAGTCCAGGGTAAAGTGAGCAAACCAAGAGAACAATATATGTGACTGGAATAATAAAAATAAAAAGGACACTGAAAAGGAGTCATACTCTGAGTAATTATAATGATTTGTCCTGGTCCAGAAGAACAGATGATAAAAGGCCCTTTCACCCGTTCAGTAGAAAGGTAGGGGACTAACAGGGCAGAATACTGTATCCATTGGTTTTGATTGACATTTTCCCCTGTTACAAGGGAAGGCCAAATGGAACAAAGGAGATGTATCAGGAAATTACTCATGTTAAAAAAATAGCAGTCAGTAACTGTTGTTTCTTAAATGAAAGTGGATGAGCTCACTGACTGAACAAATAGAGGACCAAGAAGAAGATCTAAGACATACACACAAACACACTGAATGAAAGAGGAGCCACGAAAGGTCATAGAGATGAAACAGAGAAATAAGAAAACCAAGAAAGTACAGTGACATGTAAGCTAAGGAAAGAGAGTACATTAAATACATGAAGCATATAAAAAGAGGAAAGAAAATATAATTTGTGGCTGCCCTTAAAGAACCTCACTTAAGAGTTTAAAACTCCATCTGTGAATCTATTATGCTATTCCTACTTCTCATTAGTATGGATAATTCTAAAGTCAGCTGTACATGTAAATACACTGTTCATACTCCCTCTGGTGTGGCATTATATTAGTTTATGCAAGAGGTTCTCAGCCTCGGATCAAAAAGGAACACTAAACTGATAATCCTTAAGTTGGTACATCATCCTGTTCAAGTACTGCCTACTCCACTGTTATCAATCTAGGTAATCACCTGCATTGACCAACACAAATCATACAACTCTTCATTTTCATAAAAGAGCCTTGCTTTCTTTTTGTTTCTTTGTCACTTTACCACTTTTCTCATCCATTCTCTTGTCTCTGGTATTGATCTGCATGCTTGTCATCTATCACCAGGACTACTACAACAGCATCCTAATACACTGCCCCCTACCACACACCCTTCATTCAATATCTTCTGCCCAGCTGCCAAATGATTATTTTCAAAATAGATGTGTGATCATGTGACTCTTCTGGTCAAAAAATCTGCCGTGATTCCTTATTTCCTCTCAGATGAAATATAAACTTCTCAACCTGACATTGAAAACTCTCCGCAATCTGGCTCAAACTTCTCTTCTCAGACTTCTTTCTGATTCCTCTTCATGCACTCTATGTCCCAGGTAAACTGTCTGCCCAACGAACCACTCTACCTTCTGTCTCCCCATCTTTGCACAAGTCTGGTGGAAGACCTGGGTGGCTTCCTCTTCCTTGGCCTCTCAGAATTCTTATCTTTCTTCTTGAATCAGCTCAGGTGCCATTCCCTCCTGGGAATCTTTTCGGATCTCCCTCAGATCACACTGTATGTGCTCATCCTTGGACATGTTTCCCCAATATGAAAGCTCTTGGAGGGCCAGGCCTGCTTCATTTGCCTTTGTGTGCTGAATTCCCTACATGTGATAGGGGCTTAATAAATGTTTGTTGAAATGAATTACTCTTTTCTTCTCCCAAGTATCTGTGATGCTCCTCACCTCCTCCTGACCTGTATTTGATGTAACATTTAATAAAAACTAGCAAATGTGGGTCAAATTAGTCTAAGTTCTCTAAATGAAGATGCCAAGAGTCAAGTTTCGAATATTGAGAGGCAGAGAAGTCTCCATGGATGTGCTAGAAATTATTTTTCTTCCCCTTGACTACAAACGTGCTATTCATCGTATTAAAGGCAAGTTGTTCTTAAAAGTTCCATTTACAAGCATCACGGAACAATGCAAGTCCTATGTTTTTAAATAAAACATTTCCCATTTAGGTGATATTTGCTACACTTAATATATTTGCCTGAGTTAATTTTTAATAAATGAAAGATTCATGAATAGTTAAATGTTGCAAAAAGAGATGTATTTGTTATTGGGGAGGAAACAGCTATTCGTTCCTTTCTTCTTTGGAATGAGGTGCTGACCTTTAACTTTCCTCAATGCATATTTCCCTTCCCTTAAGTCCAGATCTTCCAACTCGATTCCACCAACCTGTTCAAACAACCCCAAGTTAGATCACTACATTTCGATCAAGTGATCATAAACAAATAAATCAGTCATACTCACTGAAAAGTCATGGCTCCTGCTTCCAAGGTACATCTTGTAGGGGACTGTTCATTCAATTTGCGAAACAGTTGCTTGGCCTGGCTCTGGTACTGTTGAAGGTCCCGGCCAGACTGAAAGAGAAATTAAAAATTCATGTAAGAACCCACCAGAAAGCTGAGTTATTAATGAGTCGAACCATGAACCTGCCTCTGAAAGGATACTCTGAATGGGACCTTCACTTCAAAGTCAGTAATAAGAACTTACTCTTATAGAGGCGTTTAATATTTGTAGAATGCTTTATATTCATTATGCTTTTATGGGAAATGGAAACCACCTTTCGAAAAAGAATATGGACTAAAGTCACTTAAGAAAATTTACGTTAGCTATCTACCAAAATCAAATGAGTATACTTCAACTATACATAACTGAGCAGTCAGATACATGGCTTACTGTTCACAAAGACCAAAAGTCAGAAAACACAGCTTCTAATCCCAGCCCCCAACTGGCTTGCTCTGTGGCCCACGTTCTTATAACATTAATTCATTCATCTATAAGATGAGGAAAACAATCCTTTCTAGCACACAACTACAAATATTATGATTTGAAATACATCACGTTTCATACTCAGTCTATACATTATAGATCACAGACTGTATGACCCAGAGCTTGAGGGGCCCTTAGAGCTCACTAAAAAAAACTTAAGAAAACGGAAAAGTCAATGTAAGGGAAATTCCATCCCACTAACCTATTAGAATATATTTGTGCAAATAAGTGACTAGGGAGAACTAGTGTATATAATTTAGTTATATTTTCAAAATTATTTGCTATGGTTCCACATGATTAAAAATTTTATCATGTGATTGAACTGATATTTCATCATGGATAATTACCTTAAATACAGGAAATAAGCTAAGCTAAAAGATTCGCCTCTCTTGTCAAAGAGCAATAATAATATTAGGGTTACCTATAGGAGTGGTCTCCAAAGTGGAGGCCATAGCCTGATGCCAAGGGAGTCATGAGAGCAGGACTCCAAGGGGTGTAGGAAACAGCCAACCATGACATGGTGAGACACGTTACATACCAATCTCCCCACGACAGACAACTGTAGGGCTTTCAACACAGACCTCATTATACTGTCTCTCCCCTGAAATTCTCTTCCAAACTTCCCTGCTACTCCTGAGGACACATCAACCACGACCCTTCCAGTTAGCCAGGTTTACAATCTCATCGTCATCCTGAACCGCCAATCTCCTCACACAGCTGACACCCATATCCAACCATGACCGAGTCTACCTCCCTTACCTTTAACATCTGTCCCCTTTTCTCTACTTACACAACCACCACCTTACTTCAAGTCCTCATCACCTTTCACCTAGACTATTGCAACAGCCCTCCTTAATTGGCCTCTCTGACTCAAATCTCTCCTCATCCAACCCATCCTCTATGCTGCTGCCATTATGATTTTCTAAAGTTTGATGTTCACAATGATGACCTTCAGTCATCAAGAAAAAAATACATTCTACGTATTCTATTTAAGAGGGTAGGGAAGTAGGAGATGCAATTTAATAGCATCTACATTCAAAAATGGTTACTATAAAAGTTTTGGTGTTTACCCCAGAGCTAAAAAAAAAAAAAAATCAAACACACACACCAAAAACAAACCAAAACCAACATCAAAACCAAAAACCTGGCTAACCAGAACGACCCTTTTCCCAAGGTTTTACCATTTATTGCTGTACACTAAGTACCAAACTTAAAAATAACTAGTTAGCCCAAGAAATGGCAGACTTAAAAGAGGGTTTAGACAAATTCATGACTAAGAGAAGCTAGGAAATTTCAGGGTATATTTTAGGTGGACATCACAGGGGGCAATCCTTGCTTTACCACAAATAATGTCCCTTAGTAGATATATCACAGAATACCAATCAAAACTCATTTGGCATATATTGAACCTAAACACTTTTCTCCAGGATTTAAACTACAAACAATTTTGCTACCTGTAAGGATATTTTTATTTTCTATTTGCTCTTACCCCTTACATCAATGTAAATTAAATAGCAAATTTGTTTTACAATAAGCAGATGCAAAAACCTGAGTAAAATGCACTGGCCTCTTCATTTACTTAAAAAGTCTTTGTTCAAAGGAATTTAATTTTGTTGTTTTACTTCTGTATACATGCATCATAGGGAAAAAGGTAATCTTTTTTATACTGCACAAATAAATTACACTGTCTGAGGGTTATCTGCAATTTTAGAATAACCTTTGGTCTTCTGATCAATTAAGTATTTTATTAAATACCTACTATGTGCCAAGCGCTGTGCTAAGTGCTGGGGTTACAACAAATGACACAATCCTCACTCACATGAATACACTGTTCAGCTCTATTCTAGGACCTAGTTCTTGAGGGTCCCGTTTATTATTTAATGTTATGGTTTATAGTTAAAGCTCAAGAAGTCAGATTTGACAGCTCTGATCCCAATCTCCCAAGATAAAGTATAAGTGCTGCTTTATATATTCTGCTCATTTGCAAACTCGAGGTCCACACAAGACCCCACTATGCCAGTCCCCTTTAGAATATGCTCTTCTTTATTCTATGTTCTATTCACAGAACTGTGACAAAAAATAAAAATATGACTGCAGATAGTATAGTGAGACAGAGTGGGTTAAAATCCCCAGACAAATTCTAAAACAAAATCAAGGGGCTTTTGAAAAGCCAATTAAGAAATCAACTTTCTGTTTGAACAAACAGCAGTATCAAATGCTGCCTACCGGCCTCAGAAGACTGTTTAGCTTAGCCCATTCCATTTTAAGTTTCTGTTTACCTCCAAAGGTGGCCAAAGGCCAGCAGTACCAAGAACCTTCCTCCAAAGCAATGAGAGGAGACGTTCAATAACTGGTTTTTTACAAATTCAGCTGCACTATGGAGGATCTCTTGACTTGTGGACTTGAGGCTCTCTCTTCTGCCCCCCTTGGGCAGATTTAGCTTCTGCTCTACTCTTGCTACTAATTGCTAATTTAAGAGAAGGGAGGAACACAGCTCAATTAGGGAGAGCAGGCCAGAAAAGAAGGAAGACCTAAAGAGAGCCTGAAATAAAATGAGGGAGGTAGAGGGGCAGAGCAGCACAATGTGTATGAATAATATACATCTCCTTGTGTCCACCACACTCCCAGTTAAGCATCAAAGAGAATAAGGTTTGCAAGCAGCTGTCTATCCCTATGTGAGGATTTTCTGCTGCTTTAGGTCACAGGAATCACTGTTCATCTCCAGTCTTGTACTTAAGCATGTACTGCTTAGATAGGAAGTTTAAGAGTAAAATTCCTGATCATATGATCCATATTGTTTTCCCAAACAGGGAGAAAGCACCACAAGGCTTTGCCCTGGGCCCTCTTCTGTTCTCTCTTGATAATTCTCTTTCAGTGGCACCATTAGCCCTTGTGGGTTTAATTATCATTTTACTGCTGATGACTTCCAGATCTATAAAGCCAGCCCTGGCCTGGCTCCCAGTCTAAATGCATCCTGGACATTTCCATTTGAATTTCCTGTAGGCATCTCAAACTCGGTGGATCCAAAACAGAATTGATTGTCTTTCCTCTGAAACACCATCTCCTCTCCCCTCTCTCCCCCTCCACCCCCCAAACTTCTCTCTTTCTGTTGAGGGCACCACTATCCTTAGCCACTTTAATCTGCACCCTTGGAGCCATCTCCAACCCCTCATTTTTCTCCTCTCCAGGTATCCAATCTGTTCCCAAGTCTTACCTATTTTACCCCCACAACATCTTCTGCACACACAGCACCTAGTGTTCAAATCCTCAGGATTTCTCATTTGGACCACTGAAACTGCCTCCTAACTGACCTCTCCCTCTTCCAACCCATCTTGCACAGTTACCAAAATGGCAATCCTAAAATACAGGTTTTCACCCCTTTGCTCAATAAACTCCAGTGTTTCCCTATTATCTCCAGGGTCAAAAGCAAACTTCCCTATGCAGCATTTAAAGCCCTCCACATCTTTGATCTAACAAACCTTTTCAGCCTTGTTGCACATGACTCCTCTTCACAAACTGCAGTTCAACCAAAATAGCTTCACACAACACTGCTGAGCCCATCTCTGTGTCTGCACAGGCTGCCCAAGGTCCAGAATGCAATCTCTTTTCATTCTTAGATCCGAGATCAAGTGTTATCTTCTTTTTCCACAAGGTCTTTCCTGATGCTCCCAGTTCCTAGGGCCTCCCCTAACCCATTCCCTTATATTTATTCTGTAGATACCTTATGTATCTTCAGTGCTTAGCACAGTTCCTTGCACATGGCAGGTTAACTGAAAGATGAATTGAAATTTCTATTCCTCACTTACAGAGGTTAGTTCTAACTTCAAACAGGAGATAATTTTTAAAGGCCTTCCAACAAAATGGAAATAAACATTTGCCACAAGAGAATGCACTCATACCTACCTCTGATTTCATTAAATGGGTCTGAGAAAAGTCCTAATAAGATTTAGTGTTTTAACTGGATCATCTAAATTCAATTATATCAAACAAATAGTTGAGCGCTCAGGCACTGAAGATACTAAAATGAAATAAGATATGAGCTCTACACTTGAGGACTTTATAATCCAACGAGGAAAAGAAAGTATATCTACAAACAATCTATAATACAAAGCATAATGTCTTAAGTAAAAAGAGATCCAAACAAAGTGCTACCTAAGAGACTTCACAGATGAGGTAGCACTGAGATGGGTCTAGAAGGAAAGTTAAGATTTTAACAGTTGGATATGGAGGGAAGGATGTCTATTATAAGCACAGGGGGCAATGTCAGCAAAGGCACAGATGTATGGAATAAAAGAAGATAAGAGGATGAGACAGGCAGACCAGGAAGGGTTTAACACTTACAATAAGCTGAACAGAAAACACTTTGAATCTATTACATGGCTGGGGATCAGCATGAATCAGCTTAATTCTCAAATATCACATTCTGGATTTAGAAATTTCTTTTAGCACTGAAAAGAACTATAATAATTCCAACTCGCCCATTTTATAAATGAGAAAAATAAGCCCAGAGAAATTACCTAACTTGCACAAAGTAAGACAGCTTAAAAATCAGCAAAGCTAGGTCTTCTGCCTCCATATGCAGTGATCTTGCCACTATTTCATGACTTCAGGTATTAGAAAGGACAAATAACTGTTCTAGTTTTCAAAGCAGGGAAAAGCATACCTGTTATTAACTGCTTTTACTTCTCTTATGTCAACTGTAATTCATGATTCTGTGGCCCTTTCCAACATTCTTTCCACATATATCTGTTAGGAAATAGTTCCAACCCTTTTAAGTTTTTTTACATACTTCATCTGAAATTTTGGTTGCTTTGGTATATCTAAAAACTGATGCACAAAATTTAATTTGTGCTGTCCTTTCCCATCTTTTAATTTATGTCAAAGCTGAATGGACAACTTTAACAATAAACTTATCAAATAATGTGCTAACCTTTTGGATTAATTAAAACTTTTCCCATTCTGTTTTTACATGCTTTTGATTCCAGTAAAATCAGCTAATTTAGAACCATTAAACTGCCATACAATTTCTATTCCTTTTTCTCAAGTTGCCACTTCAAATCTTTAAAGTTATTCATCCATGTGACATAGTTTTCAGCTGTAAAATCAAAATCAAAAGTCCTGTCTGAGAAATGTGTTTCCACTGGTGCTAACAGACCAGAGATGCTATTTCTGATGTTAGCTGAAACCATAATAATCTCCATAGGTCTCACCACTAGCATGTAGGACTGTCTATTGCTCAGCAAGGACTTGAGGCTTTTCGGGAGAAACTGAGAGGAGCAAAGCTTTAGTCATTTAATCTTTTGATCCTTGATAAAAGTCTTAAACTAAGAGGTAGTACAGATAGCGGCTAGGAAAATTAAAGAAAAATTAAGTTACAACTCTAGAGGTTCCTAATTGTCTAAGTGTCTTTGACAAATTACAGAATGTTTGAGCTTCAGTTTTCTCATCTACAAAATGGCAAACATACACTTTTGTCCTTTCCTTCTCAACATGGATACTATGAGTGCAAAAAAAAAAAATAAATCTAAAAGGATGGCATTGGATCCTATTTCATCAATCCCAACATTATAACTCACATTCACATAGCATTTTAAGTTTTGCAAAACCCTTTCTACATAACAACATGTGATAGAGGCAGTGAGAAACAAGTGTCATCCATATTTTATAGCTGTAAAAAATTAAGTGAACTGTCTAATATCAAACAACTAATCAGGATCTGTCAGAATTAGAACTCAAGTCTCGGGGCAGCTAGGCAGTGCAGTGAATAGAGCTCTGGCCTTGGAGTCAGGAAGACCTGAGTTCAAATCCAGCCTCAGACACTTAACACTAGTAAGTGTGTGACCCTGGGCAAGTCACTTAACCCCTATTGCCTCACCAAAAACAAACAAAAAAAAAACTCAAGTCTCCAGGTTCTTCACTCCAATGCTCCTTCACTGTAGTATGTCTTTTGTATAGTCCTGAGCATAATAGGTACTTGCATAGGGCAGCAAAGTGGTATAGTGGGCAGAGTGTCGGGTCTAGAGTAATGAAGACTCATCTTCCCAATTTCAAATCTGGCTTCAGACACTTACTAACTGTGTGACCCTGGGCAAGTCACATAACCCTGTTTGCCTCATTTGTCAAACAAACTGGAGAAGGACATGGTAAACCAATCTAGTATCTCTGCCAAGAAAACCCCCAAATGGGGTCACAAAGAGTCAGACTTGACTGAAAAATGACTGAATAACAACATAGGTACCTTGAGATAAGCTCTCTCAAGATTTCACCTGTGCACAGGCCTTGAATGGTATAATCATCTCATCATACCCCCTCCACCATCCCAACCACAATCCTTCCCTTAGTCTTCATGGACTGCTAGAGTCAGAAGAATTCATCCTGTGCTAATCAAATGTGGGATAATGAATCTCTCTGAACTTACCTAGGTTGGGCCTTAGATGCTGTCACTTGATATGAAGAGCTTTGCTGCTCATGACAAAGAGCCAGGAACTGATTGGACCGTGATTTCAAGGGGTCAATAATATGACAACATGGCATCCAAGGAAGCTAATGTGATCTTGGGTTTCCCTAGTGAGAGATACTGATGTCCAGAACAAAAGAAGTGATAGTTCTGCTGGATCGGTCCTGGGCAGCCTCCATCCACTGTATTGTGGTCAGTTCCAAGCAGGACATTTTAGGACGAATAATGACAAACAGGACCACATTAAGGGAGGCCAAGGAGATTTAGCAAAGGCTTCCTGTTCTGATAAAAGTTGTATTCAATGACCTCTGACACCACTGCCAACTCTGGGATTCCAATCTTTAATGGCTGACAGAACCTACCAGGGCTTTGGTTGGTAGAAATCTGAGCAAGTCAGGGTCACCTCTCACCAAGGTAAGGTCACTGAAATGGGCCTTAAGAGAGTCCTTGACCATAGCAGGTACTTAATACACAGGGAGTCTGCTGAACTGAGCTGAAGCCATAAGAAAAATGTTACTTCTCTCATATTTTGGGGATTTTTTTCCAAAGTAAAGATTTCAACAATTCAGACGAGAATTTAAATCTTCTCATCCTTCTTTAGTAACCTCTAACTTTACTACACATATAAATACCTTCCTCCCAAGAAGCTTAAAATAATTCAGACACATTTCCTCATCAACCATGTAATGATTCCAGTGAGCTGGGTCAAAGACTAGTGGCTGGCCCTACTTTACAGATAAGGAAAGGGAGGTAAAGAGAAAATTTAACTCGTTCAGGGGTCAGACAGCGTGGCAGGGTTCTTTCCCAGTACCTCTAACCAGGGCGAAGTTGTGGCTTCCCAATCAATTAAATAAACTCTTACTAAGCGGATGGTGGGCACAGACACGCACCTACTCTGATGGATCAGAATTGCTGAGGGTGTAACAACTTATTTCAAAGCCCACTGCCAACATGTGCACCCTGAGGAGTGCTTTCCTCCCCCAGGCAGTCCCTTCCACACTCCGGTAGCGTGCACTCCCCGCCTCCACCCTACGAACTCAGGCGGAGCAAGGAACCAAGGCTTGGGGCTCTCTAGGGGAGTAGGGGGAGGGTCGCACCATCTCCCCTCACCTGCTCGTCTTCCTGCATGGAGGCCGCCAGTGGAAGCCCGTCCGCCACCCGGGCGATCATCGTCAGCAACACCATTTCTTCCGGTTACAGGGGAGCCGATGCCGCCCCCCGACAACGGCAGTTGCTCTTGTCTCCCTTCGTTCTCCGCCCGGAGACCGCTCAGCACTCCGCTCCAGCAGCTCCCTCTGCTTGCGTCTGCTCTTACCCCGCTGAGGTGGCCGGAAGCAGCAGCGCGGGACGTTCTTCTACTTCCGGTCCCTCCCTCTCCGTGGTCGGTCAGGAACAACCAGTTCTGGCGCGCGCGTTCCTACCCTTCTCTCCTTCCCTTTTCAGCGGAGCCCAACGGACCTCTCACACTTTCCCCTCCCCCGCCTGCGGGCCTTGTGGGATGGGCTAGACGCCCAGGTTGCAGTGTAAGGCCCGCCCCCCGAGGGGGGG